AGGATGGTCTCGATCTCTTGACCTCGTGATCCACCCGCCTCGGCCTCCCAAAGTGCTGGGATTACAGGCTTGAGCCACCGCGCCCGGCCCATTATGTCTATTTTTAATGCTTCTGTTTTAACATAGTACTGATAGTCCTAGGCAGAACAATTAGGCAAGAAAATTTTTGAAAAGACATCCAGCCAGATGCAGTGGCTCATGTCTGTAATCCCAGCACTTTCGGAGACTGAGGTGGGAGGATCGATTAGCCAGATAAGGAAAATGCACACCTATACTGTCAGATACTTGGGAGGCTAAGATAAGAGAACTGCTTGAGCCCAAGGGCTAAGGCTGCAGTGATCCATGACTGCACCACTGCACTCTAGTCCGAGTGGCAGAATGAGACCTTGTCTCAATGGAAAAAAAGGAGAAAAAAGGGCATCCAAATTGAAAGGAAAGCTGTAAAAATGTCAGTTTTTAGATGGCATTATATTTCACATAGAAAAGCATGAATAGTATACCAAAAGACTTTTTCAGCTAATAAACATACTTGGTGAATTAGAGAAATATAAAATTAACATACAAATCATTTGCATTTCCATACACTAACAACAAACTGCCAAATAAAAAAGTAAAAATAATAATCTCATTGAAATAGCATTAATAATAAATTTCTTAGCAATATATTTAACCAGGGTGAAAAATCTTTATATTGAAATATTTAAGATATTAATAAAAAAATTGAAGATGACATAAATAAATGCAAAAATATTTCATGTTTATGGATTAAGAAGATAAATATTGTTAAAGTGTCAAATTATTTAAAGTAATCTATAAATTCAATACATGCCCTATCAAAATTCCAGTAACATTTTTTAAACTAATAGAATATGCAATCCTGAAATTTATATGAAACTACAAAAGACTTGCTTTGAATAGCCAAGGCAGTTTTAGGAATAAGAACAAACCAGGGGGCATTATACTTTTTGATTTCAAACTACATTTGAAGACTATTGTAATAAAAACAGGATGGTCTGTGCATACTAATGCATACCATAATCAATGGAACAGAATGGAGAGCCCAGAAACAAATCCATCTATATAAGATCTACTTATCCTTAACAGTAAGGCACTGAGAATATGCACTGCAGAATATATAGTCTCTTCCATATTTGCTTCTGGGAAAACTAAATACCCACATGTAAAAAAATAAAATTAGAACATTTTTCTGACACTATATTTGAAAATTAACTAAATATAAAATACTCTAATGTAAGACATAATTCCCTAAAATTTTTTAAAGAAAACACATGAAGAAACTTTAATATTGGTCTGGAAAATTAACTTCTGGATACAACAGCAAAAGTGCAATTAAAGCAAATAAAAATGAGTTGGACTGCATGAAACTAAAAAGCTTCTGCACCACCAAGGGAACAATAAAATAAGAAAACTATATCCGCTTAAGTTGTTAGTATCCAAAACATTTAAGAAACTCATATGAATCAAAGGCAAAAATTATAATAATAATTGTAATAATAATAACAAGACTGAAAAATAAGCCAAAGACTATATAGATGATTTTCAATGAAAACATACAATTGGCCAACAGGCATAGAGAAAGGTGCTCAGTATCACCAATCTGGCAGTTGCAAATTAAAACCATGGTGAGATATTACTTCACACACATTAGAATTGCTACTATCAAAAATAAAAGTTATAACAAGTATTAACAAGTATATTTTCTTAAAATGTTGTACATTCCTGGAGACTTGCAATGTTTTAGTGTCATGATGAAAACCACTATAAAGGTTCTTTAAAAAAATTTAACAGTACTACTATACAATCCAGCTATCCCATTTCTGCATATACAGTAAATTTAGTATTTCAAATAAACATCTGCACCTCCATGTTTCTTGAATCATTATTGACAATTGCCACGATATGAAACAAACCTAAAATGTTTCTGTAAAGAAAACATGCTATATACACTAAATAGATTATTATTCATCCCTAAAAAATAATAAAACATTTCCATTTTGACAACATGTATAGACCCAGATAACATTATGCTAAGTGAAATATGCCAGACACAGAAAGACAAATACTATATGATCTACTTTTACAAAGAAAATAAAAATGTTGAACTCTTAGAAGCAGAGAGTATAAAGATGGATGGTAGGGCCTGGCTGGAGGCAGGGAAAATGAGAGATGTTGTTCAAATGGTATGAATTACTAATTATAAAACAAGTTATTGTGGCCTAATATACAGCTTTATCACTATAGTTTATGTATGCTGAAAATTTGCTTACAGATCTGATTTGTTCTCACTACACAAAAGGTAACTATGTAAGGTGACAGATATGTTTGTTCATTAATTTGATTGTATTAACCATCTCACTATGTATATACATATAAAATTGTATTTATTGTACACAATGTATATACATACATTGTA